ATGAGACTCTTCAGTATTGCATTAGAGCGCCAAGCAGCCAAAGCTAAAAGAAGAAATCGAGAAATCAAAGAGCTAAACAGAAAAATTCAAAAGCCAGCCTGGGACGACAAAGCAAGATACTATAACAAAATGTGCAGAGAGCTGGAGTCAGAAAATCAAAAGGGCCGAACTCGCTCAGCATTTCTTAAGCTTAAGGAGTTGAAAAAGAAATTCAAGCCACGGGTGGCAATACTTAAGGATACTTTGGATAGAATGTTGAATGATCCAGGAAGTATCAAGAGAAGATGGAAGGAGTACAGAGAGTCACTGTATCAGAAGGAATTGGCTGACACAGAAGAATTTCATGAAATAACATATGAGGAAGAACCTATGGTGATGAAGGAGGAAGTTCAAATTGGTCTGAAGGAATTGGCAAAAAAACAAGGCTCTAGGAGTTGATGGCATTCCAATTGACATATTTCAACAAACAGACACTGGCTTGGATGTGCTCACTAAGTTGTGCCAAGAAATCTGGAAGTCAGCCAGCTGGCTGACTGACTGGAAAAGATCGATATTTGTTCCAATTCCAAAGAAAGGTGATCCAACAGAGTACGCAAATTATCCAACAATATCATTAATATCACATGCAAGCAAGATTCTGCTGAAAATTATCCAAAAACATTTGGAACAATATGTCAACAGAGAATGGCCAGATGTGCAGGTTAGATTTAGAAGAGGTCGTAGTACTAGGGTTATTATAGCTAATGTCAGATAGATCTTGGCAGAAAGCAAAAGAATACCAGAAGAATGTCTATCTGTGCTTCATTGACTATGCAAAGGCTTTTGACTGTGTGGATCACAGTAAGTTGTGGCTGACTCTGAGAAGAATGGGAATCCAAGAACATTTGATTGTGCTAATGCAAAACCTATACTTGGACCAAGAGGCAGTCATCAGAACAGAGCAAGGAGACACTACATGGTTCAAAAAAGAAGGGGGTCCGTCAGGGATGTATTCTGTCTCCATACCTTTTCAATCTGTACGCAGAACAGATCATCTGAGATGCTGGGCTGTAAGAGGAGGAATGTGGCATCAGGATTGGTGGAAGAGTCATCAATATCCTGTGTTATGCAGATGACACAACTCTGCTTGCTGAAACGGAGGAGGACCTGAAGCACTTCCTGCAGAAGGTCAAAGACAGCAGTCTTCAATGTGGATTGAAGCGCAACATCAAGAAAACCAAGATTCTCATCACTGGACCAATTGGCAGCATCAGTAAGGATGGTGAAGAGATTGAGAAAGTTAACAGTTTTAGTTTACTTGGCTCCACAGTCAGCACTCTTGTTAACAGCAGCCAGGAGATGAATTGCATTGGGAAAGTCAGCTGTGAGGGACCTCTCAAGAGTACTGAAGAGCAACGACATCATGCTGGAGACTAAGGTGCTCCTGATCTGGGCTATCATCTTCACAATTCCATGCTATGCATCTGAGAGTTGGACAGTGAATAGGGATAACAGAAAGAGAATTTATGCCTTTGAGCTCTGGTTCTGGAGAAGAGTGTGGAATATACCGTGGACTGCTAGGAGAACAAACAGGTTTGTTCTGGAGAAAGTGAAGCTGGAATGCTCCTTGGAGTCAAGGATTCTGAAGCTTCATCTGACATACTTTGGGCATGTTACAAGGAGTGACAGGTTCTTGGAGAGGGACATTATATTTGGCAGAGTGGAGGGGCGGCATAGGAGAGGAAGACCTTCCATGAGATGCATCCATTCTGTGACTGGAGTGGTGGGAATGAGTGCATTTGAGACGACTAGGTTGGCACAGGATAGAACAGCGTTTAGGGCTCTTGTACATAGGGTCGCTATGAGTCTCAAGCAACTAGATGGAACACAACAACAACAACAACAACAACAACAAATGTCTTACTTCCAACCCCATCCCTCCCTCACCTAGGTTTGTTAATGTTTTTCTTGAATGGTAATCCAATATAAAAACGCTCAACGGAGGAGCTTTGGTGGCCTAGTGGCAAGAAGTTGCACTGCAAGAGGTATGTGGTTCGAACCCACCAGATGCTCTGCTGGAGGCGGGGCAATCTCCTTCTGTACCAGTCAGGTCTAAATTGACGGTACACACACAAAAAGTAATAAAAAAATTTCAAAAAGCCCTAAAGGCCCAACGGCTACTACTGAGGAAAAAAATGAGATTCTAGCACAAATTATGGTGAGGTAAATTTATTCAAGGCCAATGCTAAAACTTTAATAAAGGACCTTTAAAGAAAGCAAAGGGAGGTCTGGTGGTTTAGTTCTTAGGAGATGCGCTGCTAAACCAAAGGCAAGGGCTTACCACCAGCTTACCGGAGGGAGAAACGTGAAATACTATGCTATTTACTGCCTCTGAAAACCCGCTGGAGGGTCAGCTATGAATGGATCCCCAAAAGTGCACAACAATGACAAAGAAAGTAAAGACTATACAAGAATCTATTTTGTCCATGTCACTTAGCTATGTCTTCAGCAGCACAGTACACTTAGAAACAAACAGTGGTCATCCTATAATGAATGACTGTCAGGGCGGGACCAAGGTCTAAGGGAGAACAAAGGATTTGAGGAATATCATCAACATGTCAACAAAGGGAGTGAACAGCCTAAACTACCAGGGAGTGCCCCTCCTTTCCCTCCCCGGAAAACCACCCACCTGGCTAAATCACAATGGAATGTCCCTAAAGACCCTTACTATAAAACCTGCCCTAATCCACTTTGTTGTTAAGTGCCGTGGAGTCGCAGGCGACTCATAGCGACCCTGTGAAGGAGTCCTTGACGCTTGGGTGCCTTTCATCCTCTCTCCAGGTTCATAGGGTTTCCGGAGGCAAGAGGGGAGCTCCACCCCACTCTCTGTCCGCATTGGGTAGCCAACCATTAACTTTAGGGTGCGGTATTTCCCTGGTCTATCCGTCTACCTGTTTCTCCCTCTCTGCAGCCCAAGGAATTCCGCCCAGGAGACCCTTAATAAACCTTTCTTTCTCTGGTTCCTTCCTTGAGTCCTTGGCCTTACGTACGTCGAGTGCGAAGAACTAACTGTGACATTCTGCTTTTGCCGCTGTTTCCTTCGCCCACTCTTTGCCTAATCCTTATATGCATGTTAAGTCTCTCATTTTCTGGCATGAACAGCCAAAATATAAATCTGCGGACACCCATGACTAGCCGCGTATTACTCCAGTCACTTCCAGTGTCGAAGATCTGACAAGACTGACATTTGGGCTAAAAGCGACGTAAGAGGCGGGGTTACGTGTTGCCCCGCCCACGAACTCACGTAGATTTTGCAGACGCCCTTCAGACGTGTTGGCTGGCGTCATTTCCGGCGGGACTTCCTTCCCCGGGTCAGGAGGCAAAGTTTATGGTTTTTGAAGAACTTCCAATTTTGTTTCATAACCTAGTACGTCGTTCGTCACTTGGGTCCTAGTGGGACAGGAACGCTATCGTAGAACTCACGCGTGTTTTCTTCAGATACTCTGCTGCCTTGAATTCTGAAATTATTGGCGGAGAGGTAAAGATGCTTTGGTTACCGCGAGACATTTGGGGTTTGTGACTTTAGAAAGGGAGCCTTTTTGTGACGAAATACGCTGTTGATTGAATTCATGGTTAGCTCTTACGTACAGCCTGTGCTCTTGACTGCAAAATTTGGTTTTGAGACAGGATAACGAAAACTTGAAGGTGGTTTGAGCTAAGAGATTGTATGGTTAGAGAGAAGAGGGAAAATTGGAGAAATATTTGGGAGTAACATCCTAGTACCTAATGATTTGATGCGGGAAATTATGGAGAGGAAGCTTGAGCGTCTTCTTAATCAGGATCTATGTTAGTCTGGCAGATTTCTAGATTTTCACCACCAGATCTTGTGATCACCACTTTCCGCCCTGCACCACTCACTTGTAGACTAGTCAAGCTCTTTAGAAGATTGGGTTCACACTCTTTGTGCTAGTTACCTTTATGAAACCCTTTTATGAAACTATTTTCCTCCGTTTTTGGAAGAACAGAAAGGTTACTTCTAGGAATTAGAAAATCGAACTGCTAATTATGGCTAGAGTTTGGGAATGTAGATAGGATAGTTAGGAAAGAAGAGACTGCTACTGGAGAAATCTACCTTAATAGTCATATTCCATCCTGAAGATGCTCAGCCTCCCTCTACCCAATTTCCCTACAAATGACCTGTCGTTATTAGGTACGATTGATGCTACCTCCAGATTGCGCCGTCAGCGCAGATAGGCGGTTGCAATCCACCAGCTTCTCCGTGGGAGAAAGCGAAGGTTGTCTCCTACTGTGTGATTTACTGCCTCTGAAGGAAAACACGCTGGAAGGTCAGCTGTGGATCCGTTCTGATTTGACGATGCACAGCAACTACCTTCTTTAAGTTTGCGGTTACTTTAGGATTAACCGAGGTTGTTTATATGCCTGGCGTGTAAAAGAAAAAAAAGCTCCTATGAGTCGGAGCTGACTCACAGTTGGCCCTCCCACTGGAGTGGGTTTCTGAGGCTGTAAATTGCAGAGGAGAATGTCCATCTTTGCCCTGTGGAGCCATTGCTGGATTCTTACTCCTTTGTGTTAGGAACGCACTCATTATGGTCTTGGCCATGATAGGGAAGGACCCCAAAAATATTAGCAATAGCTGCTGCTACGATTATATTTGTCATATTGTTTTATGATTACTTATTTTTCTGCTTCTCTAGACTAGGTTGTTTTTGGTATTTAATAATTAAAGACATTTTTATTTTCTTTATTTTTGCATGTTCCTTGCACATAGTTCACTGTAATTGTTGGGCTTTCCCCCACTTGTCTACCACTCTTCCCCATGAATCATTGTGGCGATTGCTGACATAATTAGCTTTTTACTTAAGAAAAACCCACTGAGTACATTTAATTTTGCTGATCAAATGATATTTACTAGATAAAAATATAACTGGATTTTTTTTTGGTATTATGTAGAAGCTATTTCCTTTTTATTAAGAGGTACGTATTCTCAGTTTGGAATAGGTATGAGTGATCAAAGTGATGAATTCACAAGGCCCGTGGCCAGGGTTGGTCAGGTGGAAAAAGCGATGCTCTCTGGTACAGGAATACATATTCCTTGGCTCCGAAAGCAGATGGAAACTGTGGGTAAGCATAATAATTTTAATTTAATAATATAATTTAATAATAATTTTAGCCTTAACACAAAGAGATGCTAAGACTTAATGTGCATTCAATATGAATAGTCAAATTTAGAAGCGTACCACTTTTCAAGCTGGAAAACAAGCAATATTTTTGTGGGTGGTTTTTTTTTTTTTTTAGTTGCAGACAAAAATGTAAATTATTAAAAAATAGCCTTCTTTTTCCTTTTATAATTTCTTTCTTTGATTAGTAGTCGTTAGTCTGTATTATAGTAAGTTCAGACTTCTAGACTGATCAAGAAAAAGATGTAACTCTAGTAGAGCAGTGTGACACAACAAGCTTTTTATTAAGCATCCGCATGTAGGAAATCTTTAGTAGACATCAGTCACTGAGCACCATCAGAAGGGAAAGAGCCTGAGAGATCACTAGGAGAGAGGAGGAGGGAAAGCTCTGTGCCTTAGGTGGTACTGTCTTGCCGCAAGGTGGGGAATCTTTGGGGCAGAGAACCCTGAAAACAGTAGCACCTTAGTGTTAATTCTAGTATTTTATCTTAGTGATCACTAGGACTATAATTTCACAAGCATGTTACCTGGGGAGACTTTGTGTATGTGTATGTGCCCACTCTCCATACCTTTTTTTTAAATTTATTTTATATTGGTTTGCTTGCAAAAGTTCATATGCATTATAATTCATACTGTCCATTCTATTATAGTTGGACATTTAGGCTGTTTCGATATTGCAATTGAATAATGCTGCTACGAACATTGTGTAGAAAAGGAGACATTTTTAAAGAAAATGGCTTAGCATTTTTTAAATTTAATTTTATTTTTAAAAAATTTTGTTGTTATGTGCCATCAAATCAGATCCAACTGGCACTGGAAGAGATTGCCCCTCCTTCTCCAATGGAGCATCTCGTGGATTTGAACCACATGCCTTCAGGATTGCAGTGCAGCTTCTTGCCACTAGGCCACCAGAGCTCACTACTGCCTTGTATTTTTAAGGTGCTCTCTATGTTTGCATTTAAAAATGAAATTATTGTATTACTCTTTTAAATTGGTGTAGTGGAATCTAAATAGCAAAATGTTATATACTTTTAAGAAAGCTTTTTTTCTCCTTTTTTAAAAATTTATTTTAATGAAAGTTTACAGAGACTTTGGATTTCCATTCATTCATTGTTGTACACTTTCCTCCCTGCCCACCACTGCCCCCTAGTTTGCTTTTCTCTTTGAAAAGGAAAAAAAAATCTTTCATTGTTATACAATTCCATTCCCACCCCACCTCCAGACCACTCCACTATGCACTCTGCATTCTGGATTCTTGTCATGACAGTAATACCTAATCATATGTACCTCCTAAACAGTTCTCTCCCTCATCTGTTTCAATGCAGTATACATTATTTATCCCCTCTTAGTTTCCCCCAAACCCTGATGTCATTCCTGCTTTACAACAGTGGTACTATGCAGTATTGGTCCCTTTGTGACTGAGATATTTCACTCAGCATAATGTCCTCCAGGTTCACCCATTTTGTATAATAATGCATAGTTCCTTGTTTTTCAGTGCAACATAATATTCCAATGTGTGAAAATACCACAGCTTCTCTATCCATTTATTTGTTGATGGGCATGTGGGTGGTTTCCAACTCTTTGCTATTGTGAACAAAGCTGCAGTAAACATGGGTGTGCATATATCTTCTTGGGTGGTATTTCTGGTTTCTTTGGGGTATATTCCAAGTAGTGGAATTGCTGGGTCAAATGGTATTTCTATTTCTAACTTTTTGAGAAAGTGCTGTACAGCCTTCCATAGTGGTTGCACCTAAAAAAAAAGCCTTTTAAAAGAAAGGAATACTGTTTTGTTTCTTAAACTTTTTGCAACAAAAATTTTGATTATTTCATTTGCATCTGCTATTTTTATTAATATCCTGTGATTGTGAAGTTTTAAACATTGGCTTTTCTTCTCGAGTGAGACATAGTAAAATAACGTTACAGATTTTGTTAAATTTTAAGTGTAATATAAACCAAATTATTTTTATCTCAAAAGGATCACTATTCTCAGAGTTTCTTATAGTTCATAGAATTCCTAGAGGTATGTTGTTTAGGAAGTGGATGCCTCTCCTGCTTCCAAACCTGTCTTAAACTGGGAGCTCCACCAACCACTGTCAGTGGGTAACCATTATGGCATTTGACACACCAATGGCAGAAGGTTCAGGATCATAGCAACCCCATGTTACCTCAGTACAGCAAATTGACAGAAGAGTCTTGAAACAAGAATATTCCTACAGTATAAAATAACAACCAACTTTTCCCTCCAATATAAAATAGCAACCAACTTTTAAATACAAAGGCCCTCTGAGGTCTTGTTTAGGTGTTGACACTAAACAAGAGGCTTAAATAAAAAACAACCAGTGGCTCCAGGAGTGATAAGACATTGAACTCCTCTCTTCCTCCTGTGGCGTTTTCTTAGTGGTCCATGGTAGGTTCAAGTCTCTTCTCCAGCACCACAATTCAAAGGCATCAATTCTTCTTTTGTCCTCCTTAATTATTGTACTACTTTCTGAAGCATAAGTAATTGTGAAGACCATGACCTGGATTAGACGCACCTTAGTCTCTATATGGACATTGTTACTTTTCAGCACTCTGGAGAGTTCCCTGACAGAAGATTTTCCTAATTCAATTTGCCTCTTTGAACTCTATGATCTTTGAGAAACGATGATAGTTCATAGAAAGGCTTTAGGTCTTTTTTTCATAGGGTTGCTATGAGTCATGCTTGACTCCATGGCCACAACAATAGAATTATCACCTTTATCCCAGTAACTTGATATATTTATAAGTGCATAATATTCTTTTTAAGAAATAAAAAGATTTACCATCAATTCCATTTTATTTTGTTTTAATTGGTAGAAAATCTGAGAAAACTTTATCACATAGTAAGAAGAAAGTGAACGGAGTTTAGTCATTGTAGTACGTAAGTTCTCCTGAACTTATGGAAAAAATGATGTAGTGGTTTATTATAAAAATTACTAGTTTGATTTGTAAAAAATTATAAATTAGCTGACTTACATAGCATTTTAGAGCCATTCACTTTTTTTAACATTTTCTACTTTTTTAACATAATGTTTTATGGTATTTTCAACTGTATAGTGATTTTGATTTTGAAGCCTTGGCTGTAAGTATAGTTTGCTAGGAGATTAATTTTAGGAAAAAGCAAGTAAGGAAGTTCAAAGTCTGCAGGTCAATTGCTAAAACTACCTTTTGTTGGTGCCCTAGTCTTGGTATACTCTCAATCAATTAGAAGACTCCTGACCTCTAGTGCTCTAGTGGTAGTTCAGGAAGTTACTCTTACTTTAGAATTGTGATTAATCTAAATATTCTTAAAACTGGGATTGCCAGTATTTGAAATGTAAATATTAACATTTATAACTGCTAGCCTCATTTGTGTTTAGTATCATTGAGTTTCTGGGACACACACAATCTTTGTTGTTGTTATGTGCTGTTGAGTCACTTGCGACTCATAGTGACCCTGTGTACAACAGCCCTAAACTCTGCTCTGTCCTGTACCAATCGCACTGTCTCTGACACTCCCGTCCCAATTATCCCAGTCACTGAATCAATCCACCTCATAGAGCACCTTCCCCTCCTGCCCTGTCCCTCCACCCTACCAAGCATGATGTCCTTCTCCAAGGACTGGTCTCTCCTCACAACATGTCCAAAGTATGTTTGTTAGACAGAGCCTCAGAATCCTTGCCTCCAAGGAGCCAGCCGGTTTAACCCTTTCCAGAACGAATCTGTTTGTTTTCCTAGCAGTGCATGGTTTTCTCAATACTCTTCTCCAGCACCACAGCTCAAAGGCATCAATTCTCCTTCTATCCTCCTTGGTCATTGTCCAACTCTCTGATGCATAACAAGTGATTGCGAAGACCATGGCCTGTATCAGACGCACCTTAGTCTCCAGGGAGATACCATTGCTCTTCAGTACTTTGGAGAGGTCCGTAACAGCAGACTTTCCCATGGCAATGTGCCTTTTAATTTCCTGGCTACTGGTGCCAAGAGTGTTGATTGTGGAGCCAAGCAAACTAAAGCTGTGTACAATCTCAATCTCTTCACCATCCATCCTGATCCTGCAAGTTGGTCCAGTGGTGAGAATCTTTGTCTTCTTGACATTGAGCCTCAATCCATATTGGAGGCTATAGTCCTTGACCTTCTGCAGTAGGTGCTTCAGGTCCTCTTCAGTTTCAGCAAGCAGGGTTGTGTCATCTGATAGCGCAGATTGTTGATAAATGGTCCACCAATCTTGACCCCACATTTCTCCTCATAGAGCCCAGCCTCCCGGATAATCTGTTCTGCATATAGGTTGAAAAGGTATGGAGATAGGATGCATCCCTGGCGAACGCCCTTCCCAATTTTGAACCATGCAGTGTTCCCACACAATCTTTACAAAATAAAAATCCACCTCTTGGAAGACATTGGTAAGGATGAACGTCATGCTTGCATGGGAAAATGCTGATAATGATTTGTTTTTACTGTTGCAGAAGTTTATTTACCAAAAAATTAATATGAAGAATACACCCAGTTTGACTTTTGTGTTATAACAAGACGGGCCCTTTGAAGAAGGGAAACATGGAAGCAGCTGATTTCTTGGCTGAACATCTTTGTTATATATATAATTTCCAAGGCTTCTAACATGATGATGCTACTTCCTCATATCATGTTACCACCATTCCAGTATTGTTCTTTTGCCTACTATCTTCCTGTATTCTTCTATCATGAGATTGATAAAGGGATCAAGCTCCTGAAATATTCCTTGCATATTGTGGTGTTAGTAAATTACTCTAAAAATGAACTTTTCTATCCATTGTGTTAGCTCATGCTGTGGAAATTGTCTCCAACTACCTTAACTGCTGACACATGATCTTGCAAATCGTTAACGACTGTGAGAATAGTATAAGAGCACTTTCTGCACTGTGGGGAAACTGTGAAAAGAGTGTGACAAGCTGTAGCCTGACTGAACCCTGGAGATGGAGCCAAGTTAACGGGTTTTTTTTCTTGATGTCTGAATGAAGAGCTGACTTATGACTGCTATGAGACAGAGCTCACTGGACAGTTGAGGAAACCAGAGGTTTATTTGTGCTACTAAACTGACCCTAGACTTGTACTTGTTAACTGAGAAGGTGTCTGAGCTTTTGACACAATTGAGAAGTTTGTCTTGATGTTAGTCTGTCTAGGGGCTGCTGTTCACTCACCTAGACTTTCACTATGTGATATCAGTCGGCTCCCCACACGCCCCAACCTATTTCCCTAATAAGCCCTAGTGCTGTGAGTAAAGTCTGTGAATCAATTTGCAATGAACATTGTACCCAGTGATTCATAAAAATAGAGGGTGACATATCTGACCATGCAGCTGTTTGCTTGGTACTATGGATGTTAGTGATGGAGGATAGTTCTCCCTTACAAAGCAAATAGAAGTCAGACTTGGCCACCCACGTTGCATCAGCTCCTTTTACAGGCATGTCTGCCACAATTTAATTTCAATGATAACTTCTTGTCCATAATTTTTCTTTGAGTGGAGGCTTGCTTATTAATGTTCATATTCAGAAGATTCAACACTTCATTGAAACATTTTTAGGCCTCCTTTACTCTCCCAGCCCTGATGATTTTTTTTATACCTATCCTACCTACCTTTGGGGGTCTTGTAGGAAGATCCTCTCAAGAGTATTTAGTGGTAGAATGAAAAATATTTGGATCATATCTGAAGCGTAGCCCAAGAACATCAAATTAGGCATTTCTTAATTTGCTAAAAATACTTACAGTGGATAAATTTGTTTCAAGTAGGCCTGCTTGATATTGGGAATGGACTGAGTCAAAGAATACATACTGTTCTAGTTAATAAAGCTTTTGCTTGCCAGATATACTTTTTAAATTGTTGAACTGGAGGCCAGTGTGAGTAAAGACCCTCTTTTTTTATCTTTACAGCGACTAGAGGAAAAAAAGAAAAGGATTTTGCTCAGACGACAAATGCTTGTTTAAGTTTTATCCAGGAAGCTCTGCTGAAACACCAGTGGCAGAAGGCTGCGGAGTATATGCATAGCTATTTTCAGATCTTGGAAGATTCTGATGGTGCCAAAAGGCTGGCTGCCCCTGAGGTAAACAAAGTGTATAGGTGTGCTGAAAGAAATTAGATTTCAAATTTCTAATTAGTTATAATGAAAGTTTACAGAGACTTAACGGTTTCCAGTCATTCATTGTTGCACTTTTCTCCCTATCCCCCTGCCCCTCCCAATTCACACTTCTTGAAAAGAATGAAAAACTCATTGTTATACAATCCCTTCCCCCCAAGTCTACTATGCAGCCTTCACTCTGGACTTCTGTAATGACAAGAATACCCATTCATTTTTAAACAGTTCTCTTCCCTCATCTGTTTCAATGCAATATACATCATTCGTCCCCTTCATTTCTGTCTTCCCTCAACCCTTGATGTCAGTCCCATTTTGCAATAGTGGCCCTATGCAATATTTGTCCAGTTTGTGACTGAGATATTTCACTCAGCATACTGTCCTCCAGGGTCATCCATTTTGCATATTTCATGAGGTCCTTGTTTTTCAGTGCTGCATAGTATTCCATTGTTTGAATATACCACAGCTTCTCTATCCATTCATTTGTTGATGGGCACTTAAGTTGTTTCCAACTCCTTGCTATTGTGGACAAAGCCACTATAAACATGGGTGTGTATATATCTGCTTCGGTGGCAGTTCTGGTTTCTTTAGGGTAAATTCCCTGTAGTAGAATTCCTGGGACAAATGGTATCTCTATTTGCAACTTTTTTAGAACACGCCATACAGCCTTCCATAGTGGTTGCACCATTTTACACTCCCACCAACAGTGAATAAGGGTTCCAGTTTCTCCACAACCTTACCAGCTGCTAAATTTTGCTATTCTTACTGGGGTGAAATGATATCTCATAGTTGTTTTAATTTGCATCTCTCTTTGAGCTAGGGATTTTGAACATTTCTTCATGTGTTTGTTTTCCATCTGAATGTCTTCTTTGGGGAAGTGTCTGTTCATATCCTGTGCCCATTTTTAAATTGGGTTATTTACTTACCTCTATCTTGTGGTGTGCATTTCTGCTTTTTGAGCTCTCGTAATTCTTTTTCAGTGGTGCGCTATACCTCCTCATTATGTACAGTGAGCAAGGCTTACTCACCCAGTAAAAAAAACAAAAACTAATGGCTTTGACAAACACTGTAGCAATTGGACAATTAAAACAGACATTCCGGTGGGGGGAAAGAAGGTACTGGGGAGGAGGTTGGAGAAAACATTGCAACAATGAATGAATGAAAACCCAAAATCTCTGTAAATGTTCATTAAAACTAATAAAATTTAATAATAAAACCACACACACACAAAAAACTAATGTTGTTATGTACCATGGAGTTGGAACCTACTCACGGCTGACTGCCTAGTGAGTTTTCAGAGGCTGTAAACACAGGAGGAGATTGCTTCTCTTTCTCCCATGTAGCAGTTTGTGGTCTCAGACTGCCCACTTGTAGATTAACAGTCCAACTACCCAAAACTAAGTTACCAGTGCAGCTACCTACCACTAAGCTACCAGAGCTCCCTTAATAACTATGTAGAATAATAGATTTAACCAACAGCTACTAAAGGTAATTTGGGTGGAGAAATTGTAGCAGGCTGGTTTTGAGTTTTGGCTTTTTTTTTAACCTTACCATTTTAAAGAAGATTCAAGATTGAAGGAAGACTCATCAACAACCTGTGTTAAGCAGATAAGACAACCTTGCTTGCTGAAACTGAAGAAGACCTGAAGCACTTGCTGTAGAAGGTGAAGAACTGTAGTCTTCAGTGTGGATTGAAGCTCAACTTCAAGAAGGCAGAAATTCTCACCACTGGGCTAATTGACATGATAGATGGAGAAGAGATTAAGGTTGTTAGCAATTACAACTTGCTCAGCCCCACCATCAACACTCTTAAACAGAAATCAAAAGATGAATTGCATTGAGAAAATCTGCTGTCAAGGACCTCTCCAGAGCACTGAAAAGCAACGATGTCAGTATAGAAACTAAGGTGCACCTAATCTAGGCCATGGTCTTTGCAGTTACTTGCTATGCATCAGAGAGCAGTACGGTGACGAAGGATGACAGAAGAAGAATTGATGCCTTTGAATTGTGGTGCTGGAGAAGAGTCTTGAACCTACCATTGACTGCTAAGAAAATGAACAGATCAGTCTTGGAGAGAGTGAACCCAAGTCTCTCCTTGGAGGCTAGGATTTTGAAGCTCCATCTCACATACTTTGGGCATATGGCCATGAGAGACCAGTCCTTGGAGAATGATGTCATGCTTGGAAGGGCAGAGGGACAGTGCAGGAGAAAAACCCCGGATGAGATGGATTGATGCAATAGGGCAATGCGAGTTGATATTTTGGAGTTAGTGAGACTGGCTCAGGACAGGGAATGGTCTAGAGGTGCTGTACATGGATCACTATGGGTCACAGGTGACTTGATGGCAAATAACAGCAATGTTAACTTGTTTAGTTTAGACAGCTGCTTCTTGGTATATATATAAATTTCACATGAGCACAATTAAGTGTTCTGGGATTCCCATTCTTCTCAGTGTTACTCATAATTTGTTATGATCCACACAGTTGAATCACTTTGCATATTCAGTAAAACACAGTTTATCTGACATCAGCTGTGAGTGGTCTTCTCTCATACAACAGCCTCTTCTGAATCAGTCATAATTAAGCCAAATTTTTCTTCAGATGGTTATTTTATGTATCTACTTGTGAGGGCCAAAAGCTCTGATGACCTAATGGTATGAAGCTGTCTTGCAATCCCAAAGGCATATGGTTCGATTCCACCAATGCTACACCGTAAAAGGATGGACAATCTCCGTGCAACTTACTGCCTTTCAAAACCTGTTGGATAGTTGCTATGGGTAGGTTCTGAGTCGATGGAACATAATAACAAAGGACCAAAACTCTGGAGTAATTTTTTTTTTCTCTCACATGCTCCCTATCCAAAGCATTAGAAAATCCTTTTAATACTACTTTTGAAAGAATATAATATCTAAGTAGTTCTTGAAATATGTTGTTAAGTACCATTGTAACAGAACCAACTCATAGATGATGCTCCAGCAGGTTTTCGAAGACAGTAAATCACCCTGGAGGAGACTGCCCATCTTCTTCCTATTGAGCAGCTAGTGAGTTTGAACCTTTGGGCTGACAATGCAGCTCCTTAATGCTAGGCCACCAGAGCAAGCTTTGCTTGGAGAAAGAAAAGAAGACGTGAATCATTAACTGCAGATGATCAAAAGCTATACCCTTCAATATGAGTTATACCTCAACATCAAGAAGAATCCTCACCATGAGGGTGATTGGTATCAAATCATGATAGATGGAGAAAAGATTGAAATTGTCAAGAATTTAATTTTACTTGGGTCCACAGTCCACATCCACAATAACAGCAGTCAAAGAATCAAAAGATGTGTTTCACTGGGAAAATCTGTCCAGGACCTCTCCAGAGCAACAATGTAACTTTAAAGACTAAGGTGTGCCTGATCCATGCTGTGGTATTTTCAGTTGCTTACTTATGCTTCTGAAAGTTGGATGGTGAATAAAGAGGACAAAAGAATAATGATGCCTTTGAATTGTGGTGTTGGTGAATAGTTTTAAATCTGCCATGGACTGCCAAAAGATAAAAGTTGTCTTGGAATAAGTCCAACGAGGGTATTCCCTATTGCCTAACGTGGTAAAACTTTGTTTCACATGGGGAATGTTGTCTGGAGAGGTGAGTCTTTGGAAGAAGATATAATCCTGGTAAAAGTCAGTGAAAGAGAGGAAGACTCTTAGCAAGATGATTTGACACAGTGACTCCACAATTGAAGGACCCCCAAACCGCTGGTCCTGTTCTGTCCCGAGTGGACGGCGAAGACCCAAGACTCCAAGACACTGGCTTGATGCAACAGCAAGAGATAAGAGGTTTATTGCGGAGCTCGGGCCGACCCTTATCTCTCGCAGGAGACAAAGGAGCCGACCGAGAGCAGACAAAGTTGGGTTTTTTTTATACACTTTAGGGGGATACAACTGAGTATCAGCTTCTCATTGGGTGATGAAAGCACAATTTGAATTCATTGGTTCAGTGTTCGCTCAGGGTTTACACAGCATTGTTGCACGTAGCACTTGCGGCAGTCACGTAGCACACGTAGCAGTTAGATAGATCTTTAACTATAGAGTGGTGTCATAAATTCTTAAGTATACAGTGAGTTCAAACTCCAGGGCAGTGGAAAAGCACAAGATACATTGGTTATCAGTCGGGAAACAAAGGCACATGGGTTATCAGTTGAGCTTGTTTGTTCTGCCTTTCTGCTAGCTATTCTTGAAATACTGTTGCCCTGGATACCTGGGTGTGGGGCTTTAAAAATTAACTTAGCTGAGAACTATAGAAACTATTTTAATTCAGCTGATAACTATAGGGACTGTATTAATTTCAATCTTTTCACAATGAACTAGAACATTGTGGAGATCATCAGGATGGAGCAGGATAGGGCAAGGTTCAGATCTGTTCTTAGGGCAGCTGCTAGTCATAGTGGACTTGAGGGTACCTAACAACAATAGTAACATTTCCTTTCCTTGGAAAGGTCCTTGTTCAGCTAACACTTTTCAGCTACTCCCTTCTTAACACCTTTTATGTGATTTCTATCAAGACTCCTCTAGAATTGCAGCTGTAACTTACCACTCTCCATTTTCTAGCTAGCACTTTTGATCATCTTCTTTATTCACTTTCTTCCTTCTCCCTATCCTGTCTCTTGGGACCCCCTGCTCTATTCTTTTTCCCCCAGTAGCTCTAGTGACGTAATAGTAAGTATCAGGATGTTAACCCAAAAGCCAAGCAGCCGTTTTAGTTGGAATCTACCAGAGGAAACTCTGGATAAAGATTGACAGTTACTTTCAGTTACAATTTTTAGCCTTAGGAGGGTTGATCTAAGAAAGAAGTGACTCGAAGGCAATGAGTAGTTATTGTTGTTATGTGCCAAAACCGACTGAGTTGACTCTCCAGCAGGTTTTCAGAGGCAGTAAATTGCATGGGAGGAGATTGCACATCTGTCTGCTACAGGGCAGCGGGTGGATTCAAACTCTGTGCCTTTTGTTTGACAGCACAGGTTCTTAACGGTAATCCACCCCTTAGAATATGTGTTTTACAAGGACAAAGGTCTGATAGTCCCAAACCCCTTAAACACTACCGAGTACGTATTATTAAAATTGTTCTGCAAGACAGTTTGTGTATAAATGTCAAAATTTCTTAAATAACTTCTATTATTATAGTGACCATAGTAACAATGGCCTATCTATTAAAGCTAAGAAAAAAATTTAGTAATTGATCAAAAAACTTAATAGGTTAAAGTATTTGTTAACATTTGGCAGATGAGAGACTCCTTTATCCAAAATTTATTTTTTAAAATAAAGCAAGAGTATCGGTGATTTCTAGACAGCTGTTTGTCTTTATATAAAATATTGAGACTTTTTGTAGAAAAGGTAGATTGCTGTGTTCAACTCAGCCAGAATATGATACCCTAGAAAGTTTTTAACAAGGAGTCTGGTAGATTTAAGAATAGCTAATCTCTAAATTGAAAAATAAACAAACAAAAAAGCCAACAAAAAACTAATAGATAATCTTTAAACTTTATCTGTTGGAAGCTTAAATTTTATTTGTCAATAGATAATTTGTTGATATTCTGCAAATGAAGTTCTTCCTGATCTTTCTTAGTTGGTAAGATGAGTGTTGTAATTTAACCAAATAACTGACATATATGCTGTAGAAAGAATTGATTTAGTAATTTACTTAATTCTTAATTATCAAAGTCAATATTGAAATAAATTGGTATTATAAGTTAGACATAATTAATCAAGACAGTTAAAGAAAATGAAAAGATTTAAGACAACATTTAGGTGATTGTCCTCATTTTATAGATAATAAAGATAAGGTCAACAGTAATGAGCTAATATTATTAGAATACATGCTTTCTCATTTGAATTTTCTTTCTCCTAATGAAAAATTTTACCTTCAGTATGTTTCCTAACTGCCTTTATTCATGAAGCTGTTAATTTAAAAACTGCAGTGTTATAGTCAACTTGTGTCACTGGATTGTGCAAATATTTGATAACCAAAGAATGGAGGTTTAAGTCACAAAGAGGTACCTCAGAAGAAAGGCCTGGCAATCTCAAATCAAAAATCACCCACT